AGGGTATTTGGGGGGACCTCACCTAATGTGCATGATGCAATGGTACATTTCAAAACTATTAAGAAAAGAGTATAATTGTGATGGATGTGTTACTTGGTTCAATGTAAACATTTCACATTGTATATTGAAGCAGTACCCTGAACCCCATAAATGCATCAATGTACAAAGTTATGTTTAATAAAAAATAATTAATTATTTTTAAAAAAACAGACTTTTTTGATATCTATGCTATTGATTATTAAATATAATAGTCTGATTGTGATGCTGAATAAATGTGTCATTTTAAAAATAAAATAAGGCTCAGCGCCTATGGCTCAAGCGGCTAAGGCACCAGCTTAGAACCTGAGCTAGTGGGTTCAAATCCAGCCTGAGCCCACCAAACAATGATGGCTGCAACCAAAAAATAGTCAGGCGTTGGCGGGCGCCTGTAGTGTCAGCTACTTGGGAGGCGGAGGCAAGAGAGTCACTTGAGCCCAGGAGCTGGAGGTTGCTGTGAGCTGTGATGCTACAGCACTCTACCTAGGCCAACAGCTTGTGGCTCTGTCTCAATAAAAATAAAAATAAATAAAATAAAATGAATTGTAAGATAGTTTCTGCAAAGAGAAGCACTCTCTCCACTTTTAGAGGGAAGATGTTGAAGCTATATTCCCCAGATGTGCTGGGATCTTGGTGGACTCTTCTTAGTCTATGCTTACTTAGAAACATAATCTAGCATTTTTTGCATATTTTAAAGAACAAGTCAAATTCCACTGTACTTTATGATTATCATTAATTGTTAAAAAGGACTAAGTAGGGACACAGGGAACTGAATTGACATTGTCCATTAAGGAAACAAACTTAATAACATGAAATTTCTGATTAAAAAAAAGGAAAGATATAATCTCCATCATATTAATTTATTAACTTGCTTTTCGGTATTTCTAAGCAGCAAAAGTAAAATGTTACCCAACAGCCTACCCAAATGGTATTTTAAGGTTCAAAAAGAAATTCCTTTTGCTATACTACTTGTGCTAATGTTAGTAGAGCAAAAACACCAACTTGAGAATTTTCAACTTTTATTTATTTATTTATTTATTTAAGAGAGCATTTTAGTTTGTTACCCTCAGTAGAGTGCTATAGTGTCACAGGTCATAGCAACCTCCAACTCCTGGGCTTAGGCAATCCTCTTCCCTCAGCCTCCCAAGTAGCTGGGACTACAGGCACACTCCACAACGCCTAGCTAGCCGGGTTCGAACCTGCCAACCTCAGTGTATGGGGCCGGCGCCATGCCCACTCAGGCATAGACACCACCCATATTTATTTATTTTTTGAGACAGTCTCACTCTGTTGCCATGGGTAGAGTATTGTGGCATCAATCATGGCTCACAGCAACCTCAATCTCCTGGACTCAGGTGATCTTCTTGCCTTCGCCTCCCCAGTAGCTGGAACTACAGGCACCTGCCAGGATACTTGGCTAGTTTTTCTACATTTAGTAGAGACGAGGTCTCACTATTGCTCAGGCTGGTTTTGAACTCCTGGGCTCAAGCAATCCATCCCCCTTGGCTTCCCAGAGTGGTAGGATGAGCCACTATGCCCAGCCCAAGAACTTTCAACTTTTTTTTGAGACAGTCTTATGGTGTCGCCCTCGGTAGAGTGCCATAGAGTTATAACTCACAGCAACTTCAAACTCTTATGTTCAAGTGACTCTCTTGCCTCAGCCTCACGAGTAGCTGGGATCACAGGCGCCCACTACAGCGCCCAGCCATTTTTTTTTTTTTTTGGTTGTAGTTGTTTAGCAGGCCTGGGCTGGGCTTGAACCTGCCACTTTCTGTGTATGTGGCTGGAGGCCTATTCACTGAGCTATGGATTCCAAGACAGAACTTTCAACTTTTAAAAAAAAGTTACTAAATTAGTGCCTTGAGATTTTTCTAGAAAAAGTTTTCTTTTCTTTCTTTATTTTTTTGAGACAGAGTTTCACTATGTCACCCTCAGTAGAGTGCCACTGCGCCACAGCTCATAGCAACCTCAAACTCTTGGGCTCAAGTGATTCTCTTGCCTCACTCAGCCTCCCAAGGAGCTAGGACTACAGGCACCCACCACTACACCCAGCTATGTTTTGTTGCAGCTGGTTAGCTGGCCTGGGCTGGATTCGAACCCTCCAACTTCGGTGTATATGGCTGGTACCATAACCACTGTGCTACGGGCACTGAGCCTAGAAAAAGTTTTAAATAGTTAATCTTCTTAATAGATTTTATTTTAAGGATTAATCAATTGTACATTTAAAAGGAATTCTTTAGGCTTTTCTATTTTTCCCTTTAAAGCTGTTTAGGACTAAGATTTCTTCTCAAATGACTACTTTGAAGTTTTAAGTTGTACTATTTTATAGGCTAGGAATTCACATCACTTATATACCCGTGCACTTTATTTTATTTATTTTTTTTTTT